GCCCAAACCGTCCGACCACCTCGAACGGCGAACCGCGCCTCGCGGCGCATCTCCTCCAACGGGCCCCAGGTCGAGATGATCGCCCCTCCGTAGAAACTCGCGTCGAACATGCCCAGTGCATGGCGAGGTCGACGGACGCCAGCGGCGCAATCACCGCGGCCAGGGCCAACTCTCACAGCACCTCCTCGGGCACGCAACGACGAGCCCCCCCTCGGAACTCCGCGCGCTGGTAAACCTCCGAGAAGATACTCAGAGCGCCACGAGAGATCGGGAAGCTCCGAGACAGGATGCCCACGATCGTGGCCACCGCGTCTGGGAACTCGGACAGCTGCCCGACGATCTCGCTCGCCCGGCCACCGCCAGCGACGTCTTGTCCTGGTCGGGGGAGAGGCGGGCCCCTTGGAAGCCCCCACCGATCATCCGAGCCTTCTCCGCGCAGTCGCCCTCGCACACCTGGGGGTCCGCCGCCTTCGCCAGGAAATTGGCCCCCAACCAAACGCCCCCGGGTCGGGCATGCGCCGCCCCGACGTCGCCGGGGGGCAAGTCCGTGCCAATGATCCCGAAATCGTCGGTGCACTCGTAATGGGCGGCTGGGGCCTCCCGGCTGATCCGGGGCAACGCCCTCCGCCGGCCGCTGCTTCTCGGCGAGAGGGGATGGGCCCAGCGAGGGCTCAGAATTGAGCGGGCCCTCCACGGTCGCCCGGGCGATCCAGCACGCCCGCGAGAAACCCGCCAACGCCGCTCGCGCGCCGACGCGCTCGCCGGAGCCGCGCAGGTGGAAGTGAAGCGGGACAGAGCTCAACAGCTCTAACGACCGAACACCCGGCAGCGCGAAGTACGGGGCTACGGTCTCGCCCGTCAAGGTCCAGCGCGCAGTGGAAGTCCAGGAGGTCGCCGGCACCGAAGGACATCCGAGCTCCCTCCTCTTTCATCTCCTCGGACACATCCAGAAATTACGCGGCACTGGCGCCGCCCATAGCACGCCGCGGCGGCGCTCGCCATCGCAGGTTGGATCTCCGCTGGTCAAACACCAGGCGCAGCGGCACGCAGAGCTCGCCACCCACATTTTCCGCCTGCTTCACCATGCAGAAAAGGCCAACCTCGCCCACCTTCGACTCGCACTGGCACGGCATGCCCGCCAGCGCCATGCGCTTGGCCAGCAGCAGCACCTCCTTCTTCCGGGGGATGTGCTGGTCCACGCAGTTCTTCGCCTCCGCGCGCCGAACGCACTCCTCGCACACCTCCTTCAACATCGCCATCTTGAAATCCTCTGGAATTTTCGCCACCCTCGGCGACGCTGACCTCGTGCTCACCGGCGTTGAGCCAGGAGAAGGAAGAGCGACCGCTCCCATTTAGCTGGAAACGTCTCGCCCCGGTCTGGCAGCCGCACCTGTCTGCCGCGCTTCTGCTGCTCGGCCAACCGTCGAGCACAGGTCAACTGGGACTGGTTCTCCGCCGCCGAGGCGGCGGGGCGCGGCCGCGCGATCGCGGCCCCCTGCGCGGGCGTCAAGGGAGGCGGCGGTCGGCGACGACCCCCCTCCAACACGCGTCGCGAGAGGTCTCCGTCCATGGCGCTCGGAAGCGGACCCGAATCCCAGCCTCAGAGCTCCCTGGGATCCGAGAGCTCGTCGCTGAACGTCCTGCGGTACAACTGGCGCAGCGCTAGCAGGCGCCCGCTCGCCCGCTGCGAGACGTCCAACTCCTCCCTCCAGCGCAAAAGCGCCCAGCGCCAACTCGACGGCGGTCTCTCGGGCCGCGGCGCGGGCGCCGCCTCGGACAGGAAGTCCCGCCTCCTCGACATGAGAAGCCCAATTCGTCGCGCAGAGCAACGCCTGGTGGGGCCCAGCGCTCTTGCCGTAGACCCGCAGACTCGATGCAAGTACGTCGACAAAAAAGATTGACTGGCAACCGAAGCACGGCCGATCGCGCGCTGAACTCCCGGCGCACCATCGCCAGTCAGCTCGCGGCGGGGCCGCGGCGCGGCCGCCCAGGTCTGCGCGCGCGCTGACCAGCTCCGCATCCCGACCCGTGACCTGCTTCACCTCTTCCTCGACGCCCATGACCCCGATCGTGGTCTCGTCCACCAAGGGTGGGTCCAGGCGGCGGGCTGCGTCCCAGTCCACCTTGAACTTCCAGTTCTTGGAGCCCCTGGGTTCACCAGTCATCGCGGCGCTGGACATTGCGGCGCGCCCTCACCAGCGCTAGCCGTTGCGCGCAAGCCTCTCGAAGATCACCTGGTTCAACAGCCCCTTCTGCCGATCCGTCATGAGCATCGCGTCCGCAGCAGCGAAGCTCGCGATCATCTCCCTCGCCGCGTTGCAGCCGGACAGCCCGCGATCTCGGATGTAGCGCCTGGCCCATGCATCCGCCGTCTTGCCCGTCGGGTAGATCTCCGACAGCGCATCCGGCGCGATCATCTCCCTGAAACCTTCCAGCATCTTGGTCGCCCGCCCCGCAGGCGGGCACTCCGTGAACTCCTCGAGCTGCTCCAGGAGCAACTGCTGCGGCATCTGAGCCTTGAACTTCATCCGCTTGATGGTCAGAATCACCGCCTCCGGCGACCCGGTGGCCACCTGCGTGTCTGGGGTCTCCAAAGGGCACGCGACACCAGCACGCGCGGGGGAAGCAGGAGCATCCTCCGTCGCAACCAGCGTCGCAGGGACTAGCACGGCCGCGGCAGCAGCTGGGGCCGACGAAGCACCACCCTGCAGACGGCTCTCGAACTCGTTGAGGCGATTCATCATGGACTAGATCTGTGCCTGGTTCGCCAGCACCGCCTCCGCACTTCGGTCGGCCCCCGACGACGCCATCGCAGAGGCCCGCAGCTCTCGAGCACGATCGGCAATCCGCATCTCGTTCAAGCCGGCCGCCAAAGACCGCTGCGACTCCACGAGATCGTCCACATGGGCCTTCCAGACCGCGTCGAATGGAGGATGGGCAAGTGGCGGACGAGGGGGATCGGCAACGGCTGCGTCTCTCACATACCCCAACACCGAACCCGACGAGAACGAGGCCACAGAGGAGAGACCAGCCTCCACGGGCTCCTGCAGCTCGTGAACACCCCACACCAGCAGCAACACGAGGGACACGATGATGGCAACCCGGCGCTGCAGAGGCATGGGTTTCCGCTCGCATGTAGATCCTCCACTCCTTGGTTGTCTCCGAAGACTCCACAAACGTGTCGCGGCAAGCCATGAGCCAGCCCACGAACGTGTCTCCACGAACACATCGATCACCCCAACGAACTTCAGGCCCTCGTAGAGCACGAAAAACAGCGCCAGCACACCAGCCAACCGATACGGCGAGCGCAAGGCCCAGCGGGCCGTACGCAGTGAGGAACGAACTGAGCTGACCATTGCGTAGACCACGTTTACAACCACCGCCTGTTGAGCCTCACGTCCTGGACGATACAACTCCAGCGAACCGATCGTGCCTGAGCGGAGTCCCTCGGTGGCCTGTGTCAGGAAACTCCCCTTCTGCAGCTGGGACAGAGCCGGCATCGGTCGTCAACGAATCCCGGGCACAGGGTTGCTCAGCACAGTAGTCTTCGCCGTGATCGTGATCGTGCCCATGCTGAGGTCTGGCAGCAGAGCCACCCACGAGTTCCCTGACTTCCGTCGAACCAGCATAAATCTCCACACCGTCGGTCGCACTCTGACGGTAGTAGCGCCGACTCCATACTTCCACTGGCATCACCCTCTCCGGCGAGAGGTCCTCCAGATCCTCCTCCTCGCTGGGCGGATCCCGCACCGCCGTGACCAGCGCCCACAAAAACACCAGGAGAGGCCCACTGCAGCGCACCGTCGCGAGGATCCGTCCCCCGCCCTCCAGAAGGCACGGCGCCTGCCAAGCAAGGTTTGGCGGGAGACTCTCAGTCGCACAGTCCACCAACTCTCACGAGGAACCAGCAGAGGATATCGCGCTGCTTGCGCGGGAAGAGGCCGACGAACCTACGTAATGAAACTCAGGCGAGATATACATCAACGGCTGAGCCCAAAAAACTGGAGACGGAGAAACACATGTATAACACGCAAGCTCATTCTACAAACAGCGCCACTCTTGGAGTATGCACGCTGCACTCCCGCCCCCGCCCCCCGCAGCTTATGGACGCTGGGGGGAGAGACAGGTGAGAGGAAGGGCCCGAAAAACTCGTTGTATATCACAACACGCAACAATGGTGATAACTATGATGATGGTGATGCTGACGGTGATGGCGATGATGATGATGATGATGATGATGGTGGTGCTGGCACCGACGTATATGCCGATGATGATAGTGATGATGGTGGTGACGAGAATGTGATGATGATGGTGGTGATGATGATTATATGTTGTTGATGATGGTGATGGTGATGGTGATGGTGATGGTGATGATGATGATGATGATGATGATGATTATGATTATGATGATGATGATGATGATGATGATGATGATGATGATGATGATGATGATGATGATGATGGCGACGACGATGATGATGATGATGGCGACGACGATGAGGATGGTGACTATGATAGGATGATGATGGCGATGACGACGATGCTGCTACTGCTCATGATGGTGGTGGTGATGGCATCCTTTCCCCACGGAAACGACGGCAATTCAAGGGTGGCGGTCGGTGGCTGTCCATAGCACATACCACATACCGCTAAAAAACAGCGTGCGGCTTTCGGTACATACGAAGCCAGACCGTCTCAGCCCTTGCAGGATGGGCGCCACAACATCCAAGCAACCACAGCAGGAATGGGGAGGAGACGACCAGGCGCGATCAAGCAATACACTGAGCTCACCACCCGAGACAATTGGGGGAGCCACCAAGAGGGCGGCGGCGGCACGCACTGGTGTACGCTCGAAATTGTCAGGACGTCGCGCACGATGGAGGAGGTGGAGGAGGGAGGAGGAGGAGGAGGAGGAGGAGGCCAACGACGACGACGACCACGAGGTTGGGAGCAGGAGCTGATGTCGGGGCTTAGTGCCGGTCAGCCAAGGGGGTGTCCGCCTGTCGTGCTGGTAGGCTGCCAGCGCCGTCTTGTGCTCCTCCTCCTGCGGACCAGGGGCGAACGGGGGCATCCTAGGGCTGACCTGAACATCGTTCACGAAACTTTGTTCCCGAACCGTTTGCGAGCCACTCGTTTTGAACATCTTTGTTTCCTCTCAACAGAGCAGCCGTGGACAAGGCCCTTGGGGGCCGTGGAGTTCACGAACAAATGGGTGTGAACCATTGATAAACAGTTTGCGGACATCCGAGCACGAACACGTCTTCCCACCCTTCCGAACACAATTTAGGGCACACCTGATGAGATCCGCTACAGTCATCGTGCGGTCACAAAAGAACGACGAAAAAGAAACGGAGGGGCCTTTCCGTCCACAGCGATCCTGGGACGCGAACACGCTCTTCGACCTGGGTCTGAGGAGCGGCCAGAAAACTGGAGCCACTCTGGGGCCCAAGGTGGTCCTCGTCTGCAGGCGTCGCCAGGCAGGGGGGAGGCTTGTGAGGTGCGGCGAAGATAGGTGCCAGAAAGAGGGGGTTAGCGCATCATGGCCCGAAGCATGTGTGTGCATGTGTGTGGACGAGGGGGGGCCACAGGAAAAGAAGAAGAGAAGCCATGATATTCACACACCCCTGGTCCTCAAACCCTTCTTGAACGCCTCCGAGCTGAGCGTCGACCAGAATCAAGAAGGAAAAATGGCAAGAGTGTTGGACGTCCGGTCACATGTTTCTCCAGCTCCGTCGCCGTGCTTTTTTCGGTTCTGCGCCCATTCTGGCGCCGTCCTTTCCATTTTCGTTTTTCAAACGCTTGTATACTGAAGAGAAGATTCTCGGAAACGGAAAACAAGAACGCCTCTGTCGTTTCCAGGGCCCATCGTTCTAGCGGTCCCTGCAGCCTCTGGAGCTCAGAGCTCCAGGGGCTGCAGGGGCCGCTGGAACGATCCGGAGAGGCCTCCGGTGACTGACGGAGACGCCCGAGGACGACGGTGATGAGGAGGCAAGGCGCGAATTCGAGCGAGGCCGCCGTCGCACGACCTGTGTAGCACAGGGTGAGGTCATTGGATAAGGAACCATTGGATAAAGAATTCAAGGTCTGGAAGCGGGTGGAGCTCCAATCGTGGACTGGCAGTGGATATCACCGCCGCCCTGGTTAGATAAGGAATCCCACAGGGTCTGAAGCCTCCTGGGGACATTCCTTGACGAACAACCCTGCCGCAATTGCGTGGGAATACCCATCGTTCCAGAGCTCGGATATCTGCTATCCCGAGGCGGCGGGGTGCCAGCGGCTGTGCCCTGGGCATCAGCCGACACGCTGATAGGCAACATCGAGCGATTAAAATCTCACATGCACCAATCTTCAGTAGCTCACAAAGCAAAGCAGAGGCGGATCATAAGGAGGAGGACGAGGAGGAGGAGGAGGAGGAGGGGGAGGAGGAGAGATGGGGTGGGGCCAAGCTAGGTGCGCTCGCACCTCATCAGACATCCGACCCCTCCCTTCCATCCCTTTCCACCGCGCTGGTTTTCTCTATTCGCGGATGCGTGTCATAGCCGACCTGCAACTCCAACAAAAAGACCGCATCTTGTTACAAGCAATCGGAAAAGGAGTAGGAGGAGGAGGTTACGGGTGAGCAGGAGGATGAGCGGGAGGGAAAGGACGAGTACGAACAGCAGCAGGAACTGAAGTGGAAGGATCAGGAGGAACAGGACCAGGGGAAGGCGGAGGAGGGGAAACGACAGGGGCGACAACAACGACGAAGAAAGACTCGGATTCAGAAGTGGCCCGCGCTGGGACGAGAGCACCTTTCTGAACGACGGGAGCAAAGCCCGCCGATCCGAAAATCAGGCCCACGCTGCAGCGGGAGCACCACTTTGAAGCATCGAAAACAACCGGATTGCAAAACACCATAAGAACAACCAACTTTTGAAATCCTGTGGACAAAAAACAGCACGCGAAGAGTACCGAACATCTTCTGGCCGAAAACAGGGGAGAGAGAGAGAGGAGAGTCGTATTCAAATTCTTTAACAATAAACGGAAGATGAAGGAGTGCCAGTACCAGGAGGGCGTTCGATCCTCATGAGCGCCGCACGACCCGGATTCAGACCTCCGACGCTTGCTGTTTACTTTCAAAGAGTAAGCACCCAAAAGCTGGCACAGGCGGCCTCAGCACGCCGGTGTGTCTGTGTGTTGAGTGCCTATTAGCGGCGGCCTCGGATCTTGAGGCCAGAGCCCCGCGTGCCGCCGCGCAGGGTCCGCACAGGCTGTGCTCTTCGGCGAAGGGGGGAGAGGAAGGGAAACGCAGGCAGACGACGACGAAGGCGCAGGCTGGAGGCTGGGGCCAGCGGGGCGGGCGGGCAAGCGGGAGGGGGGCTGGGCACCCGGAAATGGGTTCGAGAGGTCGAGGTTCTTAGTTCACAGTGTGAATCAAAAGCCTGGGCTTCCCGAGGTTCTTCACGGGGAGCTGGCTTTTTCGTCCCAGGTAGTGTCTTGTTTGCCCCAGGACGGGCCCGAAACACGCCTCTCGAGGCCGACGTAGAAGGTGAACGCCAGTATTGAAAGAACCGCGGAGGGGAGCACCGCCAGGGGAAGGGGATCCAGCGCCGACCCCAGAAATCCGCGCGCACCTTGACAGGCTGTTGTGTATGCCGTTTTTTCGTGTCTCGATGGCTGAGGCTCGCCTTCCAGAGGTGGCAGCGGGGCCAAACTGGCCAGCCGCCCCCGAGCAGGAGCGGGCGCGAGAGCGCGTTCCCGTAGCGAAAACGTACCCGGCGGCCAAAACAAACGCGGGAAACCTGGAAGCCATCTGCATGGCCGGGGCTCGCCTTCCTCAGCAAAGGCTAAGTCCAAATGGACTAAGCGCAGACGGAGGCCGAACATTCCGTGCGGACTTACTCTGCACGTACTCAGCATCCTACCAGGAAAGGCTAAGTCCAGACAGAATACGCCCAGACGGGATGGAGACCAAAAACTCCGTACGGAACCACTCCGCACGGACTGAGCCTCGTCCGAGACTTCTGGTCAGGGAGGCAAAACCAGCCGGCCAACCATGTGCGAGAGCGCCCCCTTGCGGCCAGGCTACAGGCCGCTGGGGTGGCCTCCGGGCGGCGCCATCGTGGACACTCCACAGTGCTCTCTATGGTCCATGGTGCTCTCTTCTTCCCCAAGCGGTGCTTGCACTCAGGGATCCGGAATAACAAACTGGGCCTGTGCGTCTTTCTGGCAACTATGTGGTCGCTGTCGCCGCACTGTCGCCGCCTCATCGCCGCCCGTCGTCTGGGCATGTGCGTCGGTCTGGCGGCTATGTGATCGCCGTCGCCGCTCTGCCGCCGCCTCGTCGCTGCCCATCGTCTGGGCCTGTGCGTCGGTCTGGCGGCTATGTGGTCGGTCGCCGTCGCCACCCCGTCGCCACCTGGTCGCCGCCCATCGTCTCTGCCTGTGCGTCGGTCTGGCGGCTGTGCGGCCGCCGTCGCCGCCCCGTCGCCGCCTCGTCGCCGCCGCGCTTAGTGCACCGCACAGATTGCTTCGCACATATTTATCAGTATCGATTGCTTCACACATGTATATTGTCTCACGCGGATTGCACCACATGTATTCTCTGTTTCTAAAAAGAAAAATGACCGACCCTTCCCCCTTCAGGGATTATCCGCCTCCTTTTTCGTATTGCAATGTACATATGATTCTGCCCCAGCGTCCATCCTAAATCCACCGACCCTGTCGGCGTGTGGAATGGGTTGTTCTTCTCGTCTGTGCCTCCTCCCCTTTCCGACCTTTTCCGTCTCCTTCTCGTTCGTCTCCCCCTCCTCCTCCTCCTCCTCTTCCTCCTCCTCCTCCTCCTCCTCCTCCTCCTCCTCCTTCATCTCTTCCTCCTGCGTAAAGAAAATTGACTCGAAGGGTTTCCCCTTCCTTTTGTTCCCTTCCCTGGCCGGGGGGTCGGTCCCGGGGGAAGCGGGAAGCCCAGGGGGGGTCCTGGGGGGGGTCCCGGGGGGGGGTCATGGGAGGGGTCCCGGGTCAGAATGCCACCTCCCTCTTCCTCTTCCTGAGCGTCTTTTGCCACCTTGTCCATCTCCTTTTCATTTGTCTTCCCCTCCTCCTCCTCCTCCTCCTCCTCCTCCTCCTCCTCTTCTTCTTCTTCTTCTCTTCTTCCTTCCTCCTCCTCCCTCCTCCTCCTCCTCCTCCTCCTCCTCCTCCTCCTCCTCCTCACACACTTTCTCCGCCTACCCTGTCACGTTGTCCTGTAGTTCCTTCCTGTGATCACACATCCCGTCGCCATCGACGGCCAAAACCTTCAGGGTCGGCGGCACCGGCCGCAAGACTTTCACAATATGAACTCGTACCGTCCCAACCCAACCGGTATCAACACCCCCCGTCACCCTTTGCAAAACGCTATGAGCGTACACGCGTGCATCAAAGGTCGTAAGTGTTAGAAAACCTTGTCCCAACAGAGCTGACGAAATGCACACGCGCGTCGTCGCGCGCGCATGCCGAAATCCCTCAAAATCCTAAGGTTCCGTAAGGTTTTCAAAATCGAGTGCCCAAGCAACATCTAAAGACGCGCTGCTTCGTAACAAAGGTTTTGAAACAAACGAGAAGAAATTGCGTTCGCACTGTTGCGATTTTTATATAAATCCATCGGTTGTTGAACACGTTCATAATATGCTACCAAACGGGTTTCTCGCGCGTGTCGAAATCGTTCGAACGCCCTTGCGCGCGTGCTGTCGCGAAAATCATTGAGCAAGAGACAAGGCGAAATGCACGCGCGCGCGTCGTCGCGCGCGCATGCCGGAATCAGTCCAAAAATTTTGGTTTCGTAGAGAGTTCAAAACCCATTGTCCCGAAACCAAAGGGAAACAAAAACAAAAAACAAAAAAATGTTTACGCAGCGTCGCCTGTCAAACCAGCAGCCTGCGCTCGCGCTCTTGCGAATTCAGAAGAAAAACCATGCGTTTCTGTTTTCAACATGTTCATGGAATTCAGCCAAACAGGCCACTCGCTCTGCATGTCGGAATCATTCGCGCGCCCTTGCGCGCGTGCTGGGGGGGGCACGAACCGTGTCCA